TTTCATCGATAGATACTACAGCCTCTTGCTCCTACCTGGCTGTCATCCAGACTTCTACGATGGTTGGATCGATGAAATTAAGGAGCTTATGGTAGACCAGAAAAGCCTGCGCTACTCAGTACTCGCCAATGCCGCTTCACACATCTGCAACATTGACGATTCCTCCAGCATGGAGCATCTTGCGCTAAGCTACTACTCTGAGTCGCTTCGAGGCCTGGCAAAGACACTGTCACACCCGAAGGCATCACAAGTAGCTAATCATAATGGTGTTCTGATGTCGGTCATGCTGTTGTATCTTCATGGTGTAAGTTTAGCCTACTAGCTTACTGGATGCTATGCTAACTGCTTGATCGCAGTGCATGGGTCAGGGCACATACCTGGATATCCCTCCCCACCTCAATGCGGCAATGAACATCTTGACTCTCCGCCTCTTAAACGCCCCGCTGAAGATCAACCGACCATTTGATCGTCTGGCCGTTGAAAGTGTGCTGTATCAGGTCTTTCTTGTCAGCACCGGGCTCTGGTCAGATCAAAAGCCGTTGATCAATTTTGATCTAGCTTTCTGGCTCAAAGCAGAAAAGCTGTTGGAGCAATCGATCATGTTTGCTGGCCAGTCTAATAGTTTGAACAGTCCTGTGCTAGGAGTTCCGGTCGCGCTGTTCCGACTCGCTATCCAAGTGAAAGAGATGTACCAAAATCCACAAGCGTATACCGAGCAAGCGCTAGATGAACTAAGGAGCGAGGCTGAATCTTGGGAGGCGGCTGTGCTGTGTAATCAACAGATCGACCAACTGGGAGTGAACGAACCCCCGAACCAATACCAGCGCTACTATGAGAGCGCTAGCTATCTATACGCGCTCATTGTTTCACTACTGTTGGAGCAGATTCCTGCTTTTCCTATCATGCACCAGCCGAAATCATATCAGCAAACTCCACTCGGACAAGCACGATCACCCCCAAAGACGGCAGCTTCTAACAGTTGGCAAGTCCAAAAGGGAGTTCAGATCATCAAAAAGCACCAACACGATGACAATTGGGCAGCCTGTTACATTGGTAACTGGCCCACTTATACTTTCGGGTTCTTTCTCAGCGACCCGGAGCATATGGACATAGTCCGGCACGATCTAAAACGGCGATGGGAATCGACCAGGTTTATGCAAATACCACGCTTTCACGAAAATTTAGAGAGTGTCTGGGCTGTACGTGACTCCGCCCTCATGTCTTCTCTTGGCGGAGCCTGATCGGAACTGCTTTGAGTCGAAGTAGTGCAGGAGCAGAAAGTCATCAGCCACTCAAAAGCGCACGCACAAAGTGTCTGGTTACTGGACCGTGTACTCTAAAGTCAATCACGGTTATTGGATCCAAGGCCCGTGGATGCGGCCCGTATACCGATGAAGTCTCTGTGCGGCCCTACTCGCAGTCCGCGCAGATATTCACACACGCATCGATTAGCTCGAATCAACCAAGTCACCCACTGTACTATTGTAGGTTGTGCCCGCCGTTTCGACAGACTGAGTGAGCACTCGGTAACGAATGCTAGAAGAGTTTGGTACTTTATCATATTTATGGGCTAGTTTCGAATATTCATTGTCCACCCTCATAGATGGCTTAGCTGTTCGAATGCTTCAATGAGCTGTGGTCGACCTTGTTCCGGGATGTGGACGACCTTTGGCAGTTAGCTACTTTCTGAACCTTAGCCCGTTCGAAGCAGCCTACTTGGATGGAGCTATAGTACGACTGTATCAGCTGCTCTACAGTGCCAATCTGGCGGTGGCGCTCTCTCCGGAATTGGGCATATTTTTTGAAAGTGTTGCTGCGATTGACTGTTCGCGATATTGAATCGAGGACTGCCAGCGTTGCTACCTTAGGGTCCCATAGTGTCTCATCAATGCTATTTTCAGACGCATTTAGTGCGATGATCACATGCGGCAGAACGGGCTGATTAGATGCCATCTCTAGTGCTGCTACAAAACCAAGAAAGTTGAAGTCGTGGTAAGACACTGTGTTGAAGAGTTGAAGGACTTGGTCTTAAAACGCGCAAGTGCAGCCAGTGGGAGGGTGCGAGAGGCAGATGATTCGTCAGAGGGTTCATCAGTTACGCTGCTGGTCCATGAATCACCAATACGGGGTCGCATGTGGTTAGAGCGTAGAGGCACCTGGGTTGGATGGGAGATGACAGAGGTGTGATACTGAGGTGCCGAAGCGCTCATGCCTTCCGCTCGCCGCCCGCACGAGGCCCCGAGCAGAGGTGACGGAAGCACGTCGCAAGCTGTTAAGATGCACCTGGTCTAACCACGCTAGAACCTTACCGAACAAAAAAAACCCAGGAAAAGAAAACAAAAAAGCAGAATTTTAAATGGTCACTACGAGGGTCGAACTCGCGACCTTGGCGTTATTAGCACCACGCTCTAAACCAACTGAGCTAAGCGACCTTTATTTTATTGAAAAGTTTGGTTCAACATATAATATATAGTCTATTTAAATGAGCTATATCTTCGAATTACATTGGACGTCTACGGGCACTTACAAACAGACTAAAATAACATAATAAAATTGTAGTGCGTGTCGGCTCGCTTGACAGAACGGATCCGATATAGCCGAGCTTATTAGTCTTGGCAGGCGAGCTGTTACCACATTCTCGGTACGGCTTGTTGTGCCGCACCATTAATCAAACGCTGAAGCAACTGGTCGAGAAGGCTTGGCAACGCGCTCTTATGGTTCCGACACATAACAATGCGCATCTCCTTGCAGCGTATGACGAGAGTAGATATCGTCTTTTTGGCGATTTTCATCTCTCTTCGCCAGAGCAACACCTCCACCCGCACGGCCTCCATCGTTTAAGGCAGCTTGAACCATATCTACGCCAACTAGAGTTTTCAGCAACTCCTGGTAAGTTCAGTACGATATGTACGATTCTGCTCTGTAGTGATGTGAATATAGGGTGTCAAACACAGCAAGAATATGTATTCGATCTTTCGGAAGCATTTCGCGAGTTCCAGGAGCTTGAATCAAAGTCATGGGCCCACCCCAGGCGCAAAGATGAATTAGTAGCTCCCTCAGGTAGCCTCACGTGGCCCATCGCCCATCATTTGCACAATCCTTCCTTCCAAACTCTCACACCACATGAGGGAGAAACGGAAGATGCGACGAGTTCCTGTAGCTGGATGATAATTGCGAATAACTTCGTGCCAGGAAAGACATTTATTTTCGATCATCTCTCCCGGCGTGAGAGTGTAGATGGCTTACAGGTATATCCGCAAACCATAATTGACCTCCACGAGACATGGCTGTCCAAGATTCGGTCCAATATGGCGGCGAAGGTGGAGGTCGTGTATGGTAAAAAGGTCCGCGAAAGGATGCCACAAATTTACGATCTCGAGGCATTACAACTTTGGGGCGAGTATGAAGACATTATTCTACATCTGGAATGGTTATCGACCGACCCACCGTCCGGAAAGTCTCTCGCACGCTTCGTAGTGCCCGCATATCATCCACAAACCTTTTTGTCACCTGGGGGTGCGCGCTATGGCGCTCGACAGGACACAATCCTACGCGTTGCGCACGAGTTAGCCGGCCTAACTTATAAAGACGACTTCTACAAGACTTTCAATACGACGATGATCAATAAAAGCGGCGTTCGACCACATCATTATGTTGAATCGAGCAAACTTGCCGTCGTTGCTGGAGAGGAACTTGCCAAAAATATCGTAGAAATGATCAAGCCTAACAAGCTAAGGCCAATAAGCCGGATGCGGCCCCCTCCGGATGAACTAGGTACAGTAACATCATTTTAATTAGAGACTGGTAATGCTTACTAGATTTGTAGAGATTGCACGCTTCAACAAGACTAAGGTATCGCAGAAGTACGTAATGGATCCAACCAAACCGTCAGTGATTCAGGTTAGATGTAAAACCTGCGGTCTACCAGACAAAGACTACCAACCGCTTTGGTGCAGTAAGAGTGGGAAGTATATCGCAAGGAGGAAAAAGTGTAGAGACAAGAAATGTACAGGGCGTCTTACGATACCGCAAGACTCTCGACTTGGATATATCGCCTACTCCGGTTTAGAGCCTTCCGCACATACCTCGACACAACCACCTCCCGAACTCACACGCACCCTTGAAGCGGCCCCTCCACTGTCGTTCAGTGGATCTGCCCTGAAGAGGCTGGTGCAGGGACCAGAACTACACCCAGACTTGACATCATGGAAGGCCCCGTTGGAAGACTCTCCGCCAAGCCCTACAAAGCCTTTGACAGTGTCTTCCGCTCTACCCACACCCCTATCAAGACCTTCAATTGCTAGCAAGGGCTACAATTCAAGAGAGATTCGTCAATTTGGACAGACAGGAGAAAAGGGGCCATTTGAATACTGGCATGGACATAGACCGGTGATGAACAAGATGGGAAGGGTCAGGATTTGGGTGCTCCGCAACAAACAGAGCAAGGCAATGAAAATACAAAGGCTCGATTTCTCAACTTACGGGCCGTATCTTCTTAGTACAGGGAGCAGGATCCTGGATTTCAACGATCGAGGGATCAGCTTGATTTCACCAGAGGGTAAAGAACTATGGCACGCAAGCCTAGACCAACTTCGCTCGCGGAAGAATGGCGGTGCCTTGGTGGAACACCACAAGCACGAGCTTGAACAACAGGGACAATAGCCAATAGGTAAACTGCTGGTTCGGCGTTTTCTAACTCTGTATGGTGGGACCACGAGAGTTTTCTACTGAACGCATGAGTGCTTATGTTTGGTATCCGTTTGTAGAATTGTTCCCGTTAGAGAATGTTTCGAGTATCATGTAGAAAAATGAATCGCTAAAAAGAAAGATTAAGAACCCAGCACGAAATGAACACTAAGCATGAAAGAAACAATGTAGTATAGACAGTCCCTGCACTTTTACCCATGACGGTTATAATCCATCTGTAAAAAAGAAAAAGAAGCAAAAAATTTATTTGTCAGTACGGGAATCGAAAAAAGAAAACAAAAAAGAACTTCAAATGGTCACTACGAGGGTCGAACTCGCGACCTTGGCGTTATTAGCACCACGCTCTAAACCAACTGAGCTAAGCGACCGTTGTTTTAATTGATGAAGAATTTCAATTAAAAATAAACTATATCTTGCTACAAAAAACGCTCCGGTTGTCTTAAAACAAAGAATCTGCGTGACCTTTTCCCACCTTGAGATAAGGTAGTTGCACCTTGAGATCAAATTATGTAAACGTGACTTGTCGTTGAAAGCTGCATATATGCGAAATGCATAAGAGTGCTCGGGGAAGTGCAAGCGGAGCCGCGATTGCCGAAAGCGGATAGGTACGGCGCTTGGCGCAGTCGCAGCGCGTGGTTCGTGAGTCGTGACTGAAAGGGCGACCGAGCACATGTCCCATGAGGAAGTCTCGCGATAATAAACTTCACGCGTCGAGGCCCGTTAGTTGCTGCTCTCCTCATTGACCATGCCCGACTCATAGCATAGACGTGCGCAATCGAGGCGCATCCAACAAACACCCGTCATGGATCAAAGCCGCATCTCGGAACTCAACCCACACTTGCCCGCGCTCGAGTCGACACAGTTCAAAGCCACAGTAACGCTCATATGGCCATACTCATCCTCGGCACATCAGTTCGCTCTACTGCTTGCTGAGCCCGACTTTCGGTTACGGCGGAAGAAGGGCCAGGTCCGGGCTCGCTTCTCAGGATCCAGCGCCAAAGCTATTGCGACAACGGGTGTAGGAATTGGAGATGAGGTTATTCTAAGCTTGCAGGGCGCGCAGTTCGTGCGGGAAGGATCGGTCAACACACCGGGCAAGAGCATTGACTGGGAGCTGTCATACACACAGACTCTAGTGGTTCAGATCTTCCGCAATGGCAACGAACTCGCAAATCTGGACCTCATTGATGCTGCGCCTACACCTGCACCGCGTTCGCCCGTTCGCCGCGAGCCTGTAGCAGCTCCAAGCTCTTCCCCCCATTGGTCTTCTCCGGCATTCCTCAAGCGTATGCGACTTTCCGATGGCCCGTTCGTTGAAGCTCCATACGACCCTTTGGCGGACGAGAATAACGAGGGTCATGATAAGAAGCGGCGGAGGAAGTCGTATAGGGACTGGAAGGTTTGGACATATAGCGCGAGAACGCCTTCACCGGAGAAGGAAAACGACAGTATGGAGGAAGACTTTGGTGTCGTCGAAACATCCCCTAGCCGTCCAACGAACCTGCCAGGCACACCTGTTTCTCCAGCCAAGCCCGAAATGTTCTCCGCTGCAGCTGAGCCGCCAGAGTACATCGCAAACACCGCGAATACCGACCAAAGAGTTAATGCTCACAAAAAATTAGTGTCAAGCCCGAAGAAGGACGACTTTGTTCGTGATGCCGACTATTACGAGCTATACGCTGGCCCTGACGAATTCCCATTGCCGGACCCTCAATATGCTTTTGGAGGCGACACCGAAGTCAATACCGAAGATGAGGACGCTGCCGAGGAACGATCAAATGCTGTCAGTCTCAGCACAACAGAGGCTAATACAGAGGAAGGGGATCGTTTCCAAGGTATCGATGATACTGAGCTAGACTCGCCAGCCAGTGAACAAGAAATTGTCCAAGGTGATACGGAGAAGGCTGAAAACAATTCGATCGACATTAATGGGCCACAACATGCTACAGGGATATCGACAGACAATGGAGAGGGCCAGCGTGATGTAGCTCATTCCGCGGCGGCGGATGAACCGGTCTTCACATACAACGCTCCAGCAATTGTCATGCCTCCCCCTACCTTGCCCTCTCTACAAACTAATCTTCCAAGCACTACCACGTCAGGCATACTGACTCCCATAGGCAGAGAGCCTGCGAGCCCAACTCTTCAGCCACTAGATTCAGCCACTCTTCCTTTGCCTTCGCCATTCCCCGGAGAGCGTGATGTCAGTACGACCTCGTATTTCGACTATATTGAGGCCGGACAACAGTCTGCAGAACGCAATACTACGGACCAAGAGCCACCGGATGATGCAAGCTACATCCTCGAGAACTCTTTCTTCAGTTCGATAAACTCATCGAAAGCTTCAGGGTCCCATCCGAATCACGAATCGGCTTTCACTCCTGTGCGGTTTACGTTCGGCATGGATGGATCTGGCATCTCTCGTCCAATGGAATTATCTTCTCCGGCACCTGAAGTGGCTCCATTGGACTTCAAGAAAGACTTGCGACAAGACACGGATGCTTCTACCGTCAATATGCCACAAAACTCAGCAGTCGCTTTGGACGCGCACGTATCTGTCTCTTCACCTCACGAGACGATAGATGAGAAGGTCGAAGCTCAAGAAGCAGAGGAAACTGTCGGAGCATCCTCGACTAATACCTCAGTACCGGCCATGGAGTCTGAGGTGATCGAAATCTCCTCTGGTTCAGAATCAGAAGAGTCAGAGGAAAGTGAGACCGAAAGTGTTGCCAAGTCAGACGAGAAGAACGATGTTGACAAAGTTGGGCCAGCTAGTACCCACCAGCCTGCCACGGCCCCAGGAGTAGTTGACCTAGGCTCTCCGTCCGAGGCTGCCAGTGACGAAGAAGGCCTGAGTCTGGGAGTTGAGCTCGAGGTCGTTGACAGAATCGTAAATGATGCACTTTCAGAAAGGCTCGTGCCTGGCAAGCAGGGCCCTCCAGGGTCTGACCAACAACCTCGACATGGCCAGAAGGAACACTCGCCAGACGTTGAAGATCATAGTGATTTAGTTAACATGGATTTTGTGCCTGACGTTTCGAACACCACCGAAGTCTTAGAAGAGGAAGCGCATACCCACGATCAACGTCAGCAGGCTCTAGAACCGAGGATTGACCATCTCGAAGAAGAGCAGTCTTTGGCGGCGGAAGTGACTTACGAACCACTATTGACTCTGGGCGATTCGGATGCCTATATGCAGGACGCTTTTCCACTGGCTGACATTGAACATGCACATGAATGGGATCTGCTATCGGCCGAGGATCATCACCCAGATATCAAGATGGAATCGATTGAAGAGGACTCCTTGTTTCATATAAGTCAAACTGATACTCAGCAAATAAGAGACGATGATCGTCCACTTGCTGCTCAGAGTGCCGAAGAGATCTTGATAGCTATCCCAGAAGAGGGCGATCATCTGGGAGAACTACATACGATATCTGTACCCGATACAGCTCCTGCTAGAAATACCAGGTCCAAAACAAAAGCTTCAGTATCACCTACCATGGATGAAACACCTATTCCCAAGCGTACAACACGCTCAACGAGGTCCAAAGCATCTGCGACACCTATTGCTCGTACGACTATATCACCTGCGAAGATACGGACCCGTTCCACAGTGTCTCCGCCTCAAGATACTTCTCGGAGCTCGCCGTATAGCCTTCGCTCCCAGTCAAAGCTGCTTTTGTCTCCGCAAAACCTATCGGCAGCTGCTACAGCGACACAACGCAGTAGCTCCCATAAGCATGCTTCACACAAAAGCACAGACTCGATCTCGGACATATTTTCGCCTCGATTGGCGAATCACGAACCGAGCTTCGAGTCGTCACAAGACCCAGGCGCTTCCCAGGGTAGATACTCCAATGTGTCCTTCGTGAAGGATTCTGAGGAAGAAAGCTTGCGCTCTGAGCAGTCTCTTTCTACCCTCCAGCCATCTGCTGGCTGGGGTGAATTCGGCATACAGTACACTAATATGAGCGACCCGATACAAGGTCCTGCCCACAACGATGATATCACACACCTGAAGCCACCACCGGCGAGTGCTCCAGAAGCAAAGACAAAATCAACATCGAAGATGACCCTGAAAAGCACCGAGCAGCAGCCAGCCAATGAAGCAAGGAGCAGTAGTCCTGTTCAACCTACAACCCCGTTTGTAACGCAACCACCAGCGGGTAGCCCAGGCAGACGGCTTCGCTCAGCAAGTGCAGCAAAAAGTGTATCTCTTAGCCCTCGTAATGTGCGAAGGACCAGGCGGCACGTGTATGATCTGTCTCCGGACCCTCACGAACTTACGGAGGAACCAACGGAAGAGAACACACCCAGGCCCAAGCCCATCCTAACTGATGAAGGTGAAGGTGAAGATGACCAGATCAGGAGCTCCCCTCCGCCCGCACCAAACGCCCTCGACGTGCTACGCCTGCAGCAACACCCTATTACCGTCGTATCTCCATCCATCCATCAACAATCTATCGTCAACAGTAATATGCCTATCACGCCAGAGGCCACGCAGCGGACAACGATGGAGTCGCAACCTAGCTTTGCTGAAATGCAACAAGAAGAGAGCCTACTCATGACGCCTCAGCTCACTCAAGCTACCTCCGCAGGACTTCGCTCGTTTCAGGATGTTGCCGACGCCGAAGCAAGCGCCATCGAGCCTGCCAAGCAAATCTCACCTATTGCCAAATCGACCCCCCGCCGCAACGTGACGTCTACTGATGTAGCGTCCACCGCAGCCAGTCCCGTTTCTGAAGCTGCTTCTCCCTCTTCCGATGTCGCCGACACGGAACAACCATCAATAGGTCTTTCTACGCCACTCGCATACTACACGCCACTCAAAGATTTGATATACTTCCTCAATCGGTCCTCACAATTCCACTCTTCCGCCAATCCCGACATACTCGCCCTCGTCACATCGTCTACGACTCCAAGTGAAAGGGCGAAGAAGGGTCCCAAGCACTGGAATACCACTCTCCACATCACAGATCTGAGTGCCTGGCCCGCAACGACGACTGTGCAGCTCTTCCGCGCATACCAAACCGCCCTGCCGCACGCAGATGTCGGCGATATCATCTTGCTCCGTGCCTTCGCTGTCAAGAGTCTAAATCGGCAGCCGATGCTGATCAGTGCGGATGAGAGTAGTTGGTGTGTGTGGCGATATGGAAAGCCTGTTTGGGGCGCGAAGAGAGGTGCATATGGAGAGCTCAGGGCGAGGGAGGAAATGAGAGGTCCGGTTGTCGAACGAGGCGAAGGAGAGTGGCGGGAAGTGGAGCGTTTGCGAACGTGGTGGGTGCAGAAGGTCAAGGCGGAGCTTGAGGAGAAGGAAGCGAGTCAGGTGAAGACCAGGAGTAAGGATAAGGTGGGCGGCAAGGAG